TCACACACAGGGCAGATGGTTCCATTCTGTATGGACAAGGCACACAGAGGGCAGATGGTTCCATTCTGTATGGACAATGCACACACAGGGCAGATGGTTCCATTCTGTATGGACAAGGCACACACAGGGCAGATGGTTCCATTCTGTATGGACAAGGCACACAGAGGGCAGATGGTTCCATTCTGTATGGACAAGTCACACACAGAGCATATGGTTCCATTCTGTATGGACAAGTCACACAGAGGGCATATGGTTCCATTCCTTATGAACAAGTCACACAGAGGGCATATGGTTCCATTCTTTATGAACAAGTCACACAGAGGGCAGATGGTTCAATTCTGTATGGACAAGGCACACACAAGGTATATGGTTCCATTCTGTATGGACAAGGCACACACAGGGCATATGGTTCCAGTTGTGATGGACAAGGCACACAGAGGGCAGATGGTTCCATTCTTTATGGACAAGTCACACACAGGGCATATGGTTCCAGTTGTGATGGACAAGGCACACAGAGGGCAGATGGTTCCATTCTTTATGAACAAGTCACACAGAGAGCAGATGGTTCCATTCTTCATGGGCACGGCACACACAGGGCAGATCGTTCCATTCTTTATAAACAAGTCACACAGAGGGCAGATGGTTCCATTCTGTATGGATAAGACACACAAAGGGCAGATGGTTCCAGTTGTGATGAACAAGGCACACAGGACATATGGTTACATTCTTTATGGATAAGGCACACACAGGACAGATGGTTCCAGTTGTGATGGACAAAGCACACACAGGTCAGATGGTTCCAATCTTAGTGGAAAGTCACACACAGAACTTAAGGTTCCAGTCTTGGTAGACAGGGCACACACAGGTCAGATGGTTCCAGTCTTGATGGACAAGGCATTCACAGAGAAGATGGTTCCTGTATGAACATCTTCCTATCATAATAACATTATAGTAATTTCGTGCACTACCCAGGCAGCAACCATGTAGGCCAAGTCAAACACTAGCACTTGTGAACCTTAATTGAAGTTCACCCAATGGTGTTTCCAAGTGAATGATTCTCCACCAGTGATCGTAAATTCAGTTGAATCTGTGGCATACTCAACGCGGGTTGGGTCAACCTATTTTATGTTTTCAAACAAGGTAGAACATAAACTTCAATCAATCTCTATGCTACTGATGAATTGGATTCTTAAAAAAAATAGGTTGCCCGCAACCCCATTTGTATTGTTATCATAAAAAGTTGAATAGAAATTAGCCATCTCTGATAATTGGTTTTACCCATAATATGGCAGTATTATATCAGATTAAACAATTTTTAAATTTGGAAGAAATTAGTCAATGTATGTTGCTACTCACCAAAACCATCCAATGGAACGTCTTCATTAGAATCTGCAGAATAAAACACAGTAGAAGTATTCACAAATTCAATCGCACAAGAAATTCAAAAAATTGTGCTGCATGAAATGTGTTGACATATAAATGACATAGAGCAAGTAACAAGCAGCCTATCAGCTGAGATAGCTCCGCTGTTAGCAATGCACATTACAATTAAAGAACTGAAGATATCATTAAACAAGCAGCCTATCGGCTGAGATAGCTCCGCTGTTAGCAATGCACATTTCAATTAAAGAAGTGAAGACATCATGTATATGTAGCACTTTCAAAAGCTTGCAAAATTGCAAGAGGTTGCTCCCATAAGATCTTCAACATAGACACATATCATCTTGTACAACCAACGATTAATTTGTAAATATTTGTAAACTCTATCTCAGTTGCAGCTTTACCCCATCATGCAAAAACAATAGATTATTTGTTTTGAACAGCACGATTTGAAACATTGCAACATGAAGCAGGTTGGAACACATAATTGCCAAATAGGTCATACTGAAACATTGTTCTTGTTGAAAGACTAGACACTCATCCCTAATCAAAGATTTGAATGCAATCTAAATCTTTTTCACACTTTCACAAGGATATTCAACAAGCAGCCTCTCGGCTGAGATAGCTCCGCTGTTAGCAATGCACATTTCAATTAGAGAATTAAAGATATCCTCACGAAATGAACAAATCTGAGAGGGGTCTACCTAAGGTACATATATACACCAAGTATCAAAGCAATCAGACTTTTCAAGAAGAAGTCAAAAAAGTAAAAAGTTGACATGGACACTGATGCTGACGATGGATGCCACCGACGGACAATAACTCATATGATAAGCTCCGCTTGACAAAATTTACAGCAGGGCTAAAAATTAGTTTCAATTTTGTGATTTTCCTCATACAATTGAGCAAATTTGACAGCCATTTTGTAATTCAAACTTGCGACCTTATAGTTTGTAGAGCTCTGCTTTCTCAAGTGCTAAGAGCAGTGGCAGCAATAATCACATTATTCAGATATCTCCAAAATGTGACATGTGATCTTGAGATGACCTTGATCTTTCCTGGAAAGATCTTGACAGAGGGAGTGACCTCTTGACACACAACACACATGCAACCATGATGTGACCTTGAGAAGACCCTGACCTGGGGCTTGAGATGGTCCTGATCCCACTAGGGGTTTAGTAACACCCACCCACCCTCACTGTTCAGTATCACCCATATAGAAGCAGTAAACGTATAAATCTTAAATTATGTATGTTTCACATATGCAAACATCTACTTATACAGTTAGTAACCAATGAAATTTACATGAAAAAATGAATTGTATTTGAGGGTCACCTGTCTAATGTGACTATATGCCATATGTTTGACACTGGGTGGTCAAATGAGCATAAGTATGAAGGCCAAAATAATGGAAGAAGTTTCCATACTTGAGTGCCAGTTATGCTTATCTCTGCAGATACTTTCAATTTAAACAAGACAAACCAGTATATTTCTATTTATTATAACCTTTAAACTGAGAAATTTCCATATTCAAATTTATAGAATAAACATATAACTTTCACAGAAAAACCAACTATCAATAAATTTACTATATACAGGTTTGACTGTAATATTTTGTTTACCTGCTTTACGTTTACATCTTCTACTGTACCACTTGTACACACTGAACATTATCAGCAAGCAAACCAATATGGTCAATGCACCAATAGCAATTGATTTCCAATATTTACTGTCACCTGTACATTAAAACACAAAAATAGGGTGTGTGAATACTGGAATGGTACAACATGTACATATGTATGTGTGAATACTGGAATGGTAGAACATGTACATATGTATGTGTGAATACTGGAATGGTACAACATGCACATATGTATGATGTGTGCATACTGGAATGGTAGAACACGTACATATGTATGATGTGTGCATACTGGAATGGTACAACACGAACATATGTATGATGTGTGCATACTGGAATGGTAGAGCATGTACATATGTATGTTGTGTGCATACTGGAATGGTACAACATGTACATATGTATGATGTGTGCATACTGGAATGGTAGAGCATGTACATATGTATGTTGTGTGCATACT